GGTGCGACCTCCAAAAGCTGTCTCCTGACATCCAAAGCGTTCCTGCAGATCCAGTTTCTCAACATAGTTTTTGAGCTCAGGCATGCTTCTTACCTTTTCGGTAAATTCGTGCTCCCACAGCGTGACCAAATTGTACCCTTGAGATTTCCAAAATTCATTCCTTTTCATGGTGAGTGCGTACAGTTCTGAAATAGACTGTTGCGTTTGTGGCAGAACTGTTGTGTCACGGTTGTGAGGGTAACATGCGCGACATCCGTGAAACATACAACCGTCGAACTGATAGATAGTATTTGTCTCCCAACAATACCCATCCGCTGAGTATTTGTGACCCGGGATGCGAAATTCACCATCGTTCAACGCGTGTTGTATGCGAATGCCTTTGGAATGAGCCTGCCATTCCAGCCATTGAATAGACACTCGGCTGTATTGATCCTTTTTGGTGTAGCCTTCGTGTGGTACTTGGGCTATTGGACTGGGTAAGGTTTCCTCTTCGACGATGGTAGCTCCCAGTCGTCGCAGTAAATCCTCCAGCAGTACCCATTCATTGCCTCGTTCAACAAATTTCATTCCTTCATCATTCTCCCTCAGTTGGAGCCATTTCTCATCGTCGCAGTCTAATTTGATGTGACGATAGGGTTTCAGAAACTTTTCTTTAAAGACTTTCATACAGACACTGGCAATGGTAATGCTTTGGGTCGGATCCACGCCCTGTTTGATAACTCGTTCCACATCGAGACCCGTTTTAGGATCTTTGGTCGTCTCTGTCTCTCTGGTGATGCTGATCATTAGATCTCTAAAAACCATGACGGAACGCCTCAGGATATCAACATCAGAACGACGGCAGGTTTCTATTTCAGCGGCGAAATCGAAGATTTTGTCTCCTTGTGCCGCATGCCAGTCCAGAAAAGTTATTCTGTCTTTGGGCCCCATAAAATCAATACCATAGTATCGCGGGCTCGAATTGGTCCTATGTAGTTTTGATGTTCGTGAGTATTAAAGAAGTGTGGGAAATAACCCTTTTCAGCTCTGTTAAGTGAAACATCTTTGGTAGGTTGGCGAGGCCGGGTATTGAAAAAGGACAGGCTGTCCAGAAGACGCATATCTAAACCTCTTTCGATGTGGAGGTACATCACTTTGCTTCCGCTATATATAACTTGGTGCGGGAGCATTGAGTTTTGGATGAGATAAGAAAGAATGAAGTATCCGTCATATCCTTTAAAATTATGAGCAAAGATGGTGAATTGTTTGTGTTGATCTCAAAACAACCATGAACAGAATTCCGAGGCCGTGTCTTTACCACAGAATTTAACTTCTCTGAGTTCAGGACTTGTCGATGTACTGATGTTTTTTGTCACGTTTTCCGCAAGTCTTACAACGCGTCCTGCAAGAAGGGCAAGGTTTGTCCAAAGAGTCCTCTTCCTTGCACACATCGCAAACTGACTGGGCTAAAACGTAATTAGCTTTGTGCTCTGTCTTTCCACAAGATGAACTTTTACAGTTGTTGCAGAGAAGGTGATGCGTGCAGGAGCCGACAGTGTCGACGGTGCAAACTTGACAGGAAGATGGGACGTATCCATCTTTGCAAACGTAGATGTCATCCTGCGTACATTCGAAATAAAAAAAAAGGAATTTGGATATGCCTTTGTTTTCTCTTGAAGTAGGGTGATGATAACACTTGTGATCTTGAGGGACGTATTCTTTACACCATTTGCATTTGTACTCCCCGCAAGTGTGCTGATCCAAATCGCGTTCTTTCACGTTTAATACTTTGAAACAATGCTGACACCTCTTCCATTGGTCGCACTCAGAGGCTCTGTTGCTCTTCTTCTTTTTCAAAATTGGTCGTGCCTTATGACGTATGAAACAGTCCTTGGACCTACAGGTCATGTTGCAATCTTTACAGATGACCGGTGTATCGGAGACTTTACAGCCAGGGCATTTGCAAACGATACAGTACGTTTCACATGTATGCTGATGCCTTTTGTTGTAGGGTGCTAGACAGTTGTCACACCAATAGTTGCTGCCAAAAAATCCAGAGATCATCGTAATCGAGTGGAAGTGATTGTCTTCTTCGATTAAATAGATGAATAGTTTTGTTTTGGAGCTGTGAGTTTCTCCTTTGCGAATAAATTTGTTGCCCATTTCTGCACTGAGGACCAGTATTTCGCAATTCAGCACTTTCTCAAAGTCGGGAATATCGGCTAGACTCGAAGGGTGGTCTTGGGGCAAACCGGCACGATACATTAATTTTTCAGCAAACATTTTTTGAACTACACTCTTTGGATCTTTAATGTTTGCGAATAATCGGGGGCCACATTTCTTATGAGTTATAACGAGATCAAATTCATCTTGCCCTGGATGTGCCTTGACCAAATCATTCCATTCTTTTCCCGTGACTCGGTAGGCTCTGGCTAAGGACACAGAGATAGATCGCGCCAAACAGAGTTGATCCTGGTTGCGTATTTCAACAATGGCTTTCTTTAATTTGATGCTTTCCCTTACATTGGTAATTTTATGGTCACTTCCAGCCCCTTTTGGCATCTCGATCATGCCAACATCTACTTCGAATGAAGAGTCCAGTTTCAACTCATTGTGGCTGGCTAAAGTTTTGGAAATGGTGTCTAGGACAACTTTGGCATTAAGATCCTGTAATTTACTGAGAGGTACAACAATAGCATTCGCTAGACCTTCGTGGCGAATAACAACGCAACCCAAATCATTGTCGCCGAGATGTCCCCTGGCTCTCCTTAAAACATCATCCATCATACTGTGAAGTTCATCTTCCAAGTCTTGCAATCTTTGTCCTTGCCATTGTTCGTTAAATTTGACCTCATACACACGCTGGATGGCTGCGTTTTTAGCAAAAGTCTTTTCATTCGAAATGAAACTGCGTGAGGGCTTTGTTCTGATCCCCTGTTGCGCAGTGTCAGGGCTAAAGAACACATCCTGGGGACTTCGGGGATTGACGGGAGATCTAACTTTCAGGGTTAGAAGTTATTGACTCGAAAATCTGACCACAATGTTCTCGGTGAATCTTGGTTGACCCTTGGATTAATTATTGGTAGGAACTGAGTAAACTCTTTCGTGGATGTGTTTGGAGAGACTGGCTTATTTGCCCACTGGTTGATGGTCCAGCTGGCAGATAATGATGTGCATGCAGATCGATGTCTTCTAAGATCTAACATTTTTTTGAAAATCTGACCACAACGTCGACAAGGGATACTCTTTCCCCTCCCTTGATCGGAGGATTTCAAGTGTTTAAGAGAAGGTGTTGTGCTTTCAGAAGGGTAGTCCTCCCAGTCCCCGTCGGCAATGCAAAGAGCGGCCAGCTGAACCGCATCCTCCTTATCGTCAGGAAGAAGTCTCTTCAGTGATTGTCAGAACCTTTTTGGAGACGGACTGTCATTCCAGTCCCCGTCGGCAAGGCACGCAGAGGCCCGCTGAGCTGCTTCTTTCTCTTCGTTATGACAAAGTCTCTTGGGCGTGACAACGGAGGTTGGAGAAGTCGACCAGTTGACCGGACAATGGATACCAAAATCCATGGGGAGTGGTGATCCTGAGCACTTTCATCGCACAAGAGTTTAAATTCGTGCAGGATGACGTACTCTTCATTCTCGAGGTCATGTCTTAGGGACCAAGCTCTGAGATCCTTGCTCGATGTGAATGAATTCACTATTTTTTTATAAATAGAACGGTATTTGTCCATCTGAAACATGAATGATACCATGCCTAAAATATATATATATATATATATTTCATGATACAGTTATTCTAATTGGTGTTATACTAAAGGAAACAGTAGATTAGGTCAAGACATTCACGATGCCATTATTTTCGCTCGATTCGATAGCATAGAAACGACGTAACAGTCACATAACCCAACTACAAAACAAGATGACGTCGTATGACGCCGCCGCCACGTTCACGGGAAAGGTCTTTGGGAGTAGATGTCCTTAAAAAAAAAGATCGGACGAAAAGGAGGCGAGAAATCGCCGAAATTAAAAAAAGACGTCTTTTTATGGCGTCATGTGTTTTACCCACTTCTAACTTAGATGGATCATTACTTGGTCTGTATGGGTCCGATCTCGATGCGGAGTAGTGCGTTGGAGCCACCTTGTCTAGCCGTTTTGCGCTATGTTGTCGGCATCGGTCTTTAAGTGCGAGATATGACGAAAACGATGACGTCATAACGAGCTCGTATCCGACGATAAGGTTGGTATTAATACTCGCGTTTTGTTTAAAAAACAAATGATTCAAATAAAATTGGAAATCGACCCCAAGGTAGGGTAGTGAGAATATTTCTTAGTTCAGAGCGTTAATACGGCGCATTTTTTTAAAATTATTACGGTACCTATAACTGACGACAGTGAACAGCTTTGGATGATTGTAACTGGAGTTCTAATGGATCGATTTAAACGAAACTTTTTGCATTATTTCCAACGTTGAACGAACATTTTATTCATCGGTGCTTCCAAACACGTTCGTTTTGGAGACTTTTTTTACATGATCGGCGTTATTATTTCATATGTTATTCAACGCAATTCGAAAACAAACAAAAATCAAGAGAATACTCTTTTCAGGGTCATTCCCATTATTTTGCCTATTTTGATTTTCGTATCTCAAAATGACAGCTGCAATTGTTTGAAAAGTTACATTTTAAAAAAAACAACAACAAAATAAAACCCTAAAAGATTCTTCCCGATCTATGTTTATCGTTTAGTACGACCTGGTATGTCTTTGTTCCACGAACGTTAATTACAACGCCAGTTGCGTCGGCCGTACCCCATGATTTCATAACATTTTTAACCAATGGCAATGTCGCAAAGACCATTTTCATTTTTTGAAACTTGAAATCTTATAGTACCTCTTCGCGACTTTGGCGTTTTTGCCTTCCGAGCATAACTTCACATCCCTCATACCTCTTCGCGACTTTGACGTTTTCCTTAAGAATGAATTCATTTACTATGTGAGTATTTCGGTATGTTTTTTACTTCTGGAAACACGATGACATTATTACGTTATAATATTGTTATTAATCGCAATTAATTTGGTTTGACTGTTTTTTTCCTATGTTTTTTTTGTTTGTTTAACAGCAATAACAGCGCCTCCTCTCCCACAACTATGAATTATCCGTAAGTACTTTCTTAGGTAATTTTATTAGAATGTTATGTCGACAAAAGAATTTTACGAACGAAGGATCATTGGATTACAATTTTTAACGAGTCGTGTTCATCTTTTCCCCTTATTTTTCATTTTAATTTCATTTGTAGTCTCTGGAGCAGCACCCCGTAGGTCGTCTGGGAGTAACGACGCTCAAGAGGCGTCTCTCCTACCAGGGAGAACTGCCCTCCCCCGTGTAAGTCGCTATTTTACTACATCTTGCATCTAGAAATTGCTTTTAATGTCGCGGTATACTTAATGCGCGGTATACTTGATTTGTCGATAGTCTTGATGCTTAGGCGTTTTATTCAACGGTTTTCTCGTACGACACCACGTTATATAACGTATAATTCAAAATTTGTTCTTTTTTTTTTTTGCTTTGAAGGGAGAGAAAGGGAGACACGCCAACTCCCAATTCGTCGGCGAAGTCGCCCTCCTGGGTGGAGAGCGTAGAGGAGAGTTCGCCCAAAAATGCGAGAAAATGTCTGGTTTTGGGGAGAGACCCGACAACGTAAGTCCACATGATACTACATTTACAAATAGAAATCGTTTTTTTAATGCGCGGTATACACGTTTAAACCAACCCATAGAAAGCATTCGCTTGATTTAATGGTAGTCTTTTTTTTCTGTTCTGCGTGATACAATGCATACGGTTTCTGATAATTCTAAAATGTATTCTGTTACTTCTACTCTGAAGGGAGAGAAACGGTGACACGACTCCGTCGACTCGGAACTCGCCCTCCTGGGTGGAAACACCCAGTCCGAGGCATGTGAGTATCATTTATTCATTCATTTTCACTCATTCATTTCATTCATTCATTTTTTTATAGACGCGACAATTAACCAGTAATCTTAAGTTTGTTTTATTCTAATTCCAATTCCTTTTCTTTTTTTAATCCTTTCAGAAGATCTTACTCCTGGTGGCTGAGGCAAACCAGTTACTGAGGAAAGTACAGGAGTTAGTAGAATTTATTTAGGAAAAATGATTACTATTTGGCTATAAAAGTAAAAAAAAAATTTTTTTAAATTAGAAAAAAAAGAATTAAAACAAAAATACAGGAACAGATAGAGTTTAGTTAGAAACCATTACTATTTTGGCTGTTTGGGAAAGTAAAAAAAACCCCCACAAACTTTTAAAATTATATAAAAAAATTAAAAACTAAAAACAAAACTTCTATGAAATTGGGGTCTTTTTGAATAATGTGTTGGGGGGTTCTTTTATGATATATGTCTACCGAGTACACGAAATCTCGGCCGCATTATTATAAGAGATTCACCCGACTAAATGAACGACAGAACTCGGAGGAAAACGAGGATTTCTCGATATCTGAACGCTCTTGGAAATTTACAGTGGATTTATTGTGCTTTCGGATTTGTTTATTCGTTGGAACGTCATCGACATACTGTGAGTATTGTGTGTGTTTTTATTTGTTATGGTCAAGAGTGCTGTCACAAATCACGGTCCTCGCGAGAGAGAGAGAGATGAAAATGATTTTCCACCGTATGGCAGGCAGCTCTCAAATGACGGTCCTTGCGCGAGAGATGAATGACTTTGCCTTCGTCTCCCGCAGCGCGGGGTCGCTCTCGCGGAAACGTTCAACGAGGCTTGTTTAGGGCTGGGGGTCGTTTATTCTATCATCCCTAACACAGCATTCTTATGCCAATGGAATGTAAACGGTCTCGAATAGCGTATGAATGAACTGGCTTATAAGGCTTGTTACTACACCGTTTTTTCGTCTTTGTTTTTGTCTTGTATTCTTTCAAACGGTCAGTTCATTACGATCAGTTTCACGTACTATACAAAAAAGGAAGTTGAAAATCAATCAATCAATCAATAAATAATGAAAATACGTAATTCGGTTCTCACCTCAGTTGAAATTGAGTTTGTGGGATCGCCACACAGTTTTCAAAACGATGACTCGAAGGAAATGACGCTGACGTACGGACGCTATGTTCATATATTTTTATAGGCTTTGTTCTATCGGTACTGCTTTTGATTGGCTAAATTATGATCGAAAACCAATCACCACTCATCTCCAAACCATTGTACTGCGAGGGACGCTATGGGACCATATTTGGCATCGCGTCTTTCGTGACGTCATCGGGTTGATTGCCTCTCATTGGCCGCTTCTTCCACTTGGACCGTATTTTGGCATCGCGTGATTCGTGACGTCATCGACTCTTTGTGTCCTGATGCTGGGAATAGGCCACGCCCCCCCGAAACGTTTTGATCGAAATTCGATCAAACAGGTATATACAACACCTGTCAATACTACTAGATCGATGGTCATGGTGTTGATCCCTGGACTGTCTATTCCAGACTAAATTATTTAGACCGCCCCCAAATAGCTGGAATATTGCTGAGTGCGCTGTAAAACTAAACTCACTTGCTCATTGCTTCAGAAGTCATACTTAGATCTTAAATGTGGTGAAGCATACGACCTTATGGATAACAACTTTTTGTTTATTGCATAGAGTACGACGTTTTCGTGTAGGTATTTGCACTATTTTCACGCTTATTTCATAGTTTTCAGTTTAAGTTTGATGCAATAAACAAGCAGTTGTAATCTATATTATAACTTGTGTGCTTCTCTCGAGAGTAATACGGTCTGATGTACGCTTGTTTGTAGCGGTGTCACCTGAGCCGGTAGGCAAGGGATGACACTGCCACAAAATGGCGTACATCAGACCGTATTTATCTTACCGCTATGTTAAATGTATAGTATGACCAGAAATTATTGAGAATTTTAGGAATATGTTTAATTGGATTTCTAGTATAAACAACCTTGACCAGCTATCAAGTGCTTGGTTTCATTCAAGAGAGACAACTCCGTTAATCCCTTTTCATTAGTTTGTGAAGAGTTATCCCCCTTTGTTTACTTGCTAGCAGACGACATTTTCAGTGATCCTCAGTATGGATGATTTAGAAAAGAGGAAGTTGATTTTAGAGTATTATAACAAGGACATCAGATCAGCTAAAGTGATTTCAAGTAGAACAGGCATCCCTTTGTCCACTGTTTATCGTGTTTTGAAAAAGGGGCAACGCCCCTCTGTGTATTTGAAGGGAATATGAACAGTGAGCGGTACACAGATATTCTCGAGGGACATTTACTTGCATCTGTTCACGTGTTCTATCGAAATTTTTGGATTTTCCAGCAGAACAACGACCCAAAACGTCTTTCAAAGCATTCACAGGCCTGGTTTCGGACCTAAACTATGACATTATTAGATTGGCCAAGCTATAGCCATGACCTAAATCCAATAGAAAATGTTTGGGGACTTATGAAGGAAAGTGTCAATAAGAAAAATCTGACAAATATTGCTGAAATGAAAGAAGAGGTGGTCCGATATTGGGACAGCATAGACCACGAATTTCTAACTTCTTTGATCAGTAGTATACCCCGCCGCATTGAAGCCTGCATTGCTGCCCATGGTGACTTGACAAAATACTAACTGTTCACCTGTCTTTGAATCTGGAGTTATGTTCTGCTAATATTCACATTTGATACGTGAGTAATGAGTGAAAAAAATTAAAAATTTACAATCTTTAAAATCTCAATAATTTCTGGTTGTACTGTACAAAATATCCATTTATTTTATTTTTAAGTTCGCTACTCGACTGGATTTTTAAAATCAGTGAAACATATTCTGACAAGGTTAAAACTGCAATAAAAATGGTTAATTATGTTTATGTTGAGCCTGCAAACGATTCAATGTATAAAATAGTTAAATTAATCAGAGAAGTTCGGTAAAATAGACGTGAACATAGTGAACTCAAAAACAACTAATGGAACGGTTTTCAAACTCAGTCCACTGCATGCGTCATATTATGACGTCATACGATTGTTATAGTGACACAGATTCTCGGCAGAGAGTTTTGCGGCACCGGGTAATATTGTTTCCAGTTGTCACCCTCCTGGCAGGGGTGACACGGAAACTTGATAAAACGTCATTGACCAATGAAATTAAAGTATGTTACATGAAGGTAAGATAAAGTTGCATGCTGTATCAGTGACTCGCAAACTTCTAAAATGCCGATCAAACTTACGTGTGTAAGTCAGCAGAAGAAAGCATGGCAAGAGAGCCTAAGGTAAATCAGTGTCAGATTCCTTTCAATTTGTCAAGCGGGACTATTCAATGTCCTGTCACGGGCTACTCTAAGTTAGTAAATATGGTTTTACGCCACTTTTAGCAATATTCCAGCAACATCACCGCCGGGGACGCCATAAATTGCCTTCACACGTTGTCACATATGTGAACGAACCCGAGTGTTCGGCGTGACGAGCGAACGCTTTAACCACTAGGCTACCCCAGCTCCCCACTTCGAAAGAAAGGGACCAAAGGGTGTTAGCTGAATTCAAAGCTCGCATAGTCTGTTGATTCAGATCACTGACTCCAGGTTGTTCTAGTGACACTTCTAGAGACTAATTGTATATTTTCAAAATACAACTACACGGTGACACAGTGAACAAAACAATGGATTAACCGAGGCCGTGAAAATATCGTTTTACCGAGACAGAATGACACCCGGTGTTCGCGAGATGAGATTGTCCTTAAATACCGAAGGCACCGATTGGGTTGAAGGTCAAGGACGCGACATTCAGGATCTGAGGATACATGAAGGTAGAAGCCTTGAAAGTATGCTTAATATATTTGGTTTATCTGACTTTAGTCAGATAACACGAGAAAGCTTAAATTATTGGTGATAACTTCGGTGAAACAAAATAATGAGACCTTTATTTTCATTACAAGCAATTATGATGCAGAATTAACGATAGCTGATATACTCGAACAACTCATCCACACATCAGCAAGTCATTCTTGTCATAAGAGGCGACTAAATCTGTGGAGTGGTTGTTAACTTGGTCGATTCATGTCATCATATCCCAGTTATGTAGATCAAAATAATTCATGAGACTTATATTTTCACTAAATGCAGCTAATAAAGCAGAACTAACGACAGCTGATATACTCGATTACCGTTCCAACTCATCTCACGAAGGAGCGATAAATAGACAGTTCTGGTGAAAATGTCAAACGTCAATGCCATATATAACTCAATTTCTCCTGAAACAGACTGCACGGAGCAACATTTCAAGCCAAAAGTGAAAGCTTTCATTGCTCTGTGCAATAAACAGGAAGTTGTTAGCTATAAAGTTGTATGAATTATTACCAACTTCTAGAATGCCGATCAAACAATTAGTTTTCACGGCGCAAAGAAGGCGAAAATGTTTTACTTAAGCTTCAGGTATGCGGTTGATCTAATATCGTTCAGTGGCCAATTCCGTTCCAATGATTTACCCTCCGGAACTTGAAAAGGAGACAATTGAAACCGCCCCTTGTTTTTGTAATATTTAAATCCATGCATAGAGTTTCAGAATGAAGGCTGTATGACAAAAGGGATGATTCAGACTTTCCAACAGTCAACTTTCTCTTCATGTCGAGCAATATTCCAACAACTCTACCCAAAGATGCTCTATAACCAATATTTCTAAGGCTACAACATCGAAGGTATCGGAAAAGCTTTCAAAATAGACAAAGTATTATTCCCCACCGCCGTGGTTTTTTAGGTGAAAAATTGACAAGCCTCTGCATGTGTTTATGACGGGTGCCACCGGTTGGGACAGGATACGCTGACCTTGTCGCGAACACCTGATATAATCACTATAATCACGCATGCTCGTACTAAAGTCGGAATTGTACAATCGATTCTGCTTTTGGCATTTGGATGTGGAAAGGGTTTTATGACTCGGCAGTTACCTCTCTGGATAGCCTGCTGTTAAAGATTTCGCTCGTCACACCGAGGCCCGGGTTCGATGCCCAACTTGGGTACAATGTATGAAGACGGTTTCTGGTGTCCCCCGGTATGATATTGTGGGAATATTGCTAAAAGCGGCCTTAAACGATACTTACTCACCCGTGGCTGTCACACAGTATTTCCTGACCTCGTACTACTACTGCCATGTAGCCATCGATATATTTGG